GACTTGAACTGTGGGGGACAACTAAATCATCGAATATCAAACGCATCCAATCCTTCCAGTCCAAAGTCCTTCGAACAATAGTCAATGCTCCATATTATGTCACGAACAAGACCCTACACCATGACCTTAACATCCCATATGTCCATGACATCATCCCATCCAGATTCTCCAACTTTCACCAGAACCTCATTCATCATCCCAATCCTCTAGCGCAATCCCTATCCAGCTCCGAACATCCATACCATCCCCCTCGAAGGTTGAAACGGCAGTAGCCTCGAGATCTTTTGTAAATATGCCTTTGGAGTCCTGGCAATGGCCAGCTTCTCCACTCATGTCCTGAGCGTCTGTGGCTGTAGTGCCCTCTTTCAGTCTCCATTGGCTTCTAATACTAGTGATGCGGCTGGAAAAGTGGCGCTGGGATCTCCCGGAGTCTTGCTTCGCCTTCCACGTATGGGGGAAAAAGCCTGGCTCGGAGATTCTTGGGCGAATGTATATATTGTATATAGGTATGATTGTGTTTAGAAATTTTTATTTTATTTTATTTTTATTTAACTTCTTCACCAGTATTATTTATTTACTTATTATATTTATATTTATTTCTTTATTATTTGTATATATTGTATGAATGAGAACTTGTAGCCCTAATGCTTATAGCCCTCCAGCAGTGGCTGATTGTATTATTATTCAATAAACAGATTAAAAAAAAAAAAAAAAAAAAGTGTCATAAATTACAAAAACCAAAAGGGGCTTCTAGTGAAATAGGCCAAGAAAATTTATTTTGTGAAAAATCAAGTTAGATTTGTTTTTAGTGTTCTTAAAGACTCTGTAATACGAATTTTAATAGAAATAAAAAATCCGGCTGTTAACTAAAATAACTTCTCAGGATTTTTTCCAAATTCAACGTTTGTACCCTTTTGATTTCATAAAAGAAAAATTCACCAAAGTTCCTAGGTTTTTGAGGTTATGAAATATCATTTAATGATTTTTTCAATAATCTGACGATATTTACGTTGGAATTCAGTTCAAGTAAAGATTAAGTATTGGATTATATGATTAACGTGCTATAAAATGTTTTAAAAAAAAAATTATATTTACAATGTGAGGTTCTGGGTGATTTTATAAGTGAAATCTTTTTTTGTATTTACCGCCTTGAAATTGGCTTGGGTTGCAAGAAATAGCACTATTAGGTTTATTGAGATTTCCATAAAAGTTGAAGCATTAAATTCTTAAAGTAAATACATCAAACCGTTGGAACAAAATAAATATTTTATTGCAGTGTTATTTCTTTTCAAATAAAGTTTTTCCATCCAATTACTGTATTTTTTATTTCACCTAAACAATTACGTTTTACGGTTATATCTTCTTCATCTGATGGTTGATCGTGCTATTGAAGTATATCGATTTATTAGAATAAATAGTTGACAACTTTTATCTTTTATATATATATATATATATATATATATATATATATATATATATATATATATATATAAAAGATAAAAGTTGTATTTGTATATTCATATTTAATATATTTTTATATTTATTTTTGTTCTTTAATTTTGATCATTGATATTTCAAATTATAAAATCACCTATAGTTATTGAATTTATTTATATATTTTCTTCCTACCCTTCAAGTTAGGCAATACGCATTTCTGCATCAGGGGTGCCCAGAAGGAGGTTTCATGGTTCATGTTGCGCCATCAAAATTTCTGACGGGTTATTGAATTTTCGAGGTGGACAAATTTTGACGGGTTTACGAATTCTTGGACTAAGAGGCAAGTGTAATCCACAATTTTTCTAATTCTACCTCAGCTTGTTCTGTTTTTAAGAAAACGTGAGCAATAAAATATCCTGGAAGGAGGACGGTAGGTTTTTGCTCCTTCAACCTTGGAGAGGGTATGGGCTGCATAATCTATTACTACTGCATACGAAGCTATTACTATAGTCTGTAACATTCTTCATTTTTATGTTAGTCAGTTTTTGGTTGTCTTCCACGCTTCCTCATTTCAATAGATGACCTTCTAGGAACAGAGGGTGTTCCTTTTGTGAGCTGCCTTTTACTCGTACACAAAATCTTTGTTTGGTTTCCTTTAGTGATTAACTGGCGAAAACCGCTATCTTTTAAGGTGTAGAGCCAGGATTCTCATAGAAATTTGACCCTTAGCACTTCAAAGGCGGTGCAGTCGACGATGATGTGCTCAGCGGTCTCCGGGACACTGCAGCTAAGAACAAGGAGCTTCCGCGTGGAACTATGTGTTGATGTTTGGGAGCTTGCAATATTAGCCGAGAAAATTACTCTGAACTCTCTTGGGATTATTCACCAACCTCTAGACAGTGATTAACAGTTAATTAGGGATATTTATTATTAAATTATAATATTGTAATCTAATCATATATTTTTATTTTTACTAAAATATAAAATTAAGTTGGTTGACATGAGCGCGTTCTAATTCTGCATTTTAGCATTTAATTTTTTTTTTAATCTCTGAGTTTTTTATTATATATATATATATATATATATATATATATATATATATATAAAACCTATTTATTATCATAACTTAAATAAATAACGCAAATAAACTAGATGAATTTATTTTAACAATATCAATATAACTTCACATGAATTATTGATTACACTTACATGTTTTAGAGTTCGGTCTTACAAAAGGAATGTTCTTTTATATAATATTAACATTATTTTGATATATGATTAATGTTATAAGTGGTACAAATATTTAGTACATCTAAACCTGTATAACCTAGGACTGTATAACCTAGTGTAACTTCCTAATTTGTATTACCTATTTATATCACATGGTGATATAATAACTGATTAATAACTGATGCAGTTATTAATTAGAACGGAGGTAATAGTGCTGCTACATATGTATATATAGAATAGAATAGAATAGAAAAATAACTTTATTCTGGAACACTGTCCCTTGAGAATAACAAAATAGAACAAAATTAAAATATTACATCTGGCCAAAATAAAATCAATCAAAACAAAGAAATAATGTATTTTTATTTTAAATATATAGCTTGTTTAGATCTGCAAGCCGCTCTTGATTCAGTCCTAAGAGTCAAAATATGGAATGCATTGAAGACAAAGAACGTCACTTTAGAATTTCTAAAAGCCATAAAATCTTCGTCTGAGGGCTGAAAGGGTAAAATCAGGATGAATAGAAAGGAGTCTAGGGGCTTTGATATGAGGAGAGGTGTCAAACAGAGAGACAGTCTGAGCCCTCTTCTCTTTATTGTTCTGATGGATGAGATATTGAAAACAAGGACGACCCGAACAGTAGTAGAGAAACGGAACTTGAGAGTAGTTCTTGCTCAGACACTTTTCTATGCCAATGTACTCATTGTGGACTCCATCCAGAATCTTCAGCAAGCTATGGAGAGAAAAGTCTTGATTATAAATACAAGCAAAAGCAAAGTCATGCAACATTGGACGGGAATCTGAAGATGTGCAGATTACTTGTAAAGGAGAAATCATAGAGGCAGTAAAAGATTACACGTACCTAGGTACAGTTATTAGCAAATATGGTAAAATTCAATAAAAAATATGTAATACAATGAAAAAAACAAACAATATTTATTACCAAATCTGTAATACTGTTATTGATATAACGTGTATATATAATATATAACTTGAAGTTGAGAAAACGTAAAACATTTTTATTGCAATTTCCCTTGCCATCCTACTATACGGAAGTGAGAGCTAGGTACTTTTCGACAGATTGAGGAACAGAATCACCGCCTCAGATATGAAACACCTCAGAAAAGTTGCCGGCCAAAGACGAAGGGAACACTGCAGTGATACCAGAATAAGAGAGGAGCTAGGGCTGAAACCACTAACTGAAATTCTGGAAAAAGACAGTTGAAGTGATTCGGACATTTATAACGAATGGGCGAAGACCGTTAGTCCACGGAAATTCTTCTGAGCTAGACCAACTGGCAAAAGACCAAGAGGCAGGCCAAGGATGTCGTGGCTGGATAATGTGGCTATACTAGGAGGGAAAAGATGAAAGAATCCTTGGATTCCATGAGGGCATTGACAAGGGACCTGGACAGATGGAAACCTTAGATCGGGACACCTGCGGGGGGAAGCATTGCGAAGGAAGAAGAAGATAAAGTTAGTGTGAAATATAGTATTGATAACGCAAGATGTAGTAACTTTGGGACTGGGTGAGTAACATTGGGACAGCGGGTAAAATTACGTTTTTAGTGATGCCGTGGTGGATACTCTGTGTTGGTTCAGTTAGTATGGACAGCGCATGTACTGCGCTACTGCCTTGCGGCACATTACTCTTGAGGCGCAAGTGAAAATTTCATTCACAATGAAAATAAATATCATATAACTGCACAACGAGTGTAGTGAACTAGAATTCTCAAACTGCCTCTAAGTATTAGCGCAGTACATGCCTACACAAAGCACGATTTGGATACTGAACCAACACAGTGTATCCACCACCGAATCACCACAAAATAAATTTTACCCGCTGTCTCAAAGTTAACCAGCCAGTCCCAAAGTTATCTTATCTTACGGTATTATATGTGGTGAGAGATATTAAAAGGGAGAGAACGATTATATATAAAAATGAAATGATGTATAATTAAGTTGTATGTCCAATAAGGATTGATAAGTATGCTCTGTATATCGAGCAAACCTGGGAAGTAGGGCACTACTGTTTTAAATAAAGTATTCTCCAATGTTAGGAATTATCATAATGCATGTAGTAAATTTATTATTTAAACCTTAATTATCAACCTTCCTTCTAAACAGGGAGTGCTACTCAACCATATAAATATTCGATATTCGTGAGACATATGAATGTCTTATATGTACTATTTATGTCTTGTAAATACATGTTGCACTTATGTCTAAAGTATTTTTAACTCTTAATAACAATTACTTTTCAGCAAAATGCATAATAGTTTTTACTATTAGGCATTTCTTATGTTATACTAATGCTAGTCTTTTGTTCACAGAAATGAGATGAGAAGGAACGCTAAGAGGATGGACAGAGAGGGGTTGAGAGAAGACGCGGTGCCTGTGAGGAGGCGGGCCGCCCTTAGATAAGGTATAAATAATAATACGATACATATTATAATAATATAATGTTCTACAGCTTTGTAAATTCATACCTAATCATTAATACGTCATATTATTTAATTGCCATAGCAATCATAAAATCATGTTTTATTCTCTTCTATTTACTTTTTTCTTACATTATAGAATAGGTTTCTGAAAAAAAGTTGTATTACTAATAGCAATATGTAATACTTTAAGAGATTGTTAACATTATTTATACATAATGTTAAAAAAATATGTACCTGAAGATTTGGATCTTCAGGTATGTTCTTACTGTATGTATATTTATCGGAAAGATCATTTTAAATATTAATTTATAAATATTTTCTCGATTCGCAAGCAGTTATAAAAAAAGAAAAAAAGAAAAGCTATTAAAAAACGAAAAATTAAATTATATTGACTTATAAATTGTTTCATAGTCTTTTAATAAAAAAAAATAATTATCATGTTATACTTTTTAAAAAGATCAAATACTTTATGTTCGGTTTTTGTATATTACCAGCAAGATATTTTTATTAAAAAAAGGACGGTGGCTATCTTTTTAAATTACTGGTTATATAATTAATTTTCCTCCATATGAAACATTGTTATTATTAATACAAACAAGTTTTAAATTTTCTCTCACTAGGTTTATGAATATTGAAATCTAGAAAGAAATAATAAAAACAAAGAAAATCAAACGAAACTCTAACAATAAGTGTGAAAAATCCGTTACACCCACTAAAAATAATAACCATGAATTAAATTTCTTTTGCAGCAAAATCTTTAGTTGATTAATGAATAAAGAGCTTAGGAGTCTTAACGATAGATCATATAAACAGAAATAAACTGCTTCCGGCCACTTCTTGTAAGAAGGAAGGGAAAAATAATATCAAAAATATATTTTCCAGCTAGCCACACATGTCTCCTGTGCGTTGCGGGACAAGTATGGCCATAGTCCGCCGTACAGACATCTGTTATCAAATTATTAATATCTTCTGAAACTTCAAATATAGCTTCATCTTATCGTAACCTACGAACTTTTTATTTATCGAAATTCTCGAAAATGGGGTGTATTGAACCTGGAGTTTTGTAAACTTGCTACATATTAGTGTAAGACCGCCAGTTAAACAATGTTAATACTAAATAGATAGTATTAGTTACTTTCCACATGATGATTCGAATTTTTAATATTACATCTTCTACATACTTTCATATTTTTGAAGTGAAAACGTCTTTAGGCGCGTTTTGATTTTTTTTTTGTGTGTGTAAAGTGAATTAGATTGAACCATCAGACTTCCGATGTGTAACGCTCGGGTAAAGTTGGCTAGAATCGACAAAGTTAAGTTTCTGCATATGCATTAAAATATCTCAAAAAAACTAAAATTAAGACCTGCTTATAGTTATCAAGGGAGACGTTCATCATTTCATCCTCTATTCAAAATTGTATCTTAACGCGACGCACAGTGGTCCAAAGTGACTTTTTTTACATAATTCTATAACTTCGTTATTTTTCAACCGATTTCCTTGTTTATTCGTTTTATAGTATCACTACTAAATATACTCCATTATCTGTGCGATCAATATAAAATATTATCTGAAATAATGTATGAAAATACAATAATAAACTATAGTAGAGAACGTGAGGTACCTTACTATAATATTATATTTATTCTTTCGAACTTTAGAAATCCTTGTTTTAGCTTTTGAGGATATTATTTTTATATATATACTTCAAATAAGATATTATAATTTATGAATTTTTTAATCTTGATAGATATGATTAATTTCTAATTTGGTTCATTACACTAAAAAACTAATTTCTCAGGTGTGGAAAAACTAGTTTTTCTAGGCAGCTGTATACTGTCCTCTTGGCAATTCCCTCTCGTACAGCCTACTTGAATCCTTTTTACAATCCCTCGGATCGCGCTTTATTGCTGGAGGAGACTACAATGCTAAACACCAACGATGGGGTTGTCGATCATCCAACTCCCGTGGTAATACCCTTTCACAAGTTTCTTCTTCCAACAATTATTCCATCCTCTCGCCCATGAATCCTACTTATTTTCCAACATCCCTAAAAAAACTTCCCGATATCCTGGACATATTTATCACCTCCCAGATTTCCTCCTCCCAAACTATAATCAAATCCCTGGATGACCTTTCTTCAGACCATAGTCCAGTTCTGGTTTCACTACATTCTGACTTTGCTCCTAAACCATCACCTCCTAAACTGATCACTGGAAGAGTAAACTGGGACAAATTTCGTGATGATTTGGAAAACAAACTAGACCTCAAAATCCCGCTAAAGACAAAAGAAGACATTAATGGTGCCATAGAAAAACTGACATCATCAATAACAGACAGTATAAATAATAAGACCTTTATCAATAAGATTAACTTCACACAAAATACTAATCTGCCACAGCATATTCGTATCTTATTACAGGAAAAACGCAGAGCAAGATCGAAGAAGCATAAGACTAGATACCCAACAGATAAATCGCATTACACCCAACTGACTAACAAACTGAAATAAAAAATTAGAAAATACAAAATTCAAAATTTACTAAATTTTACTGAAAAACTTACAACCACTGACAAATCATTATGGATGACCATCAAAAAACTTCTTAAGTTTCAAGACTTTAATCACCCACTACTTACTGATTCCCAAACCTGGTCCTAATCCGACGAAGAAAAAGCCCAACTATTTGATCAACATCTCTTCCAAACTTTTAACCCACATCCCGATATCCTTAATTCAACTCACATCAATTGTATTGAAGCAGAACTGGATATTCCTCTCCAAATGTCTCTGCCACCCAAAGCATTTCATCCCATAGAAATATCCAACATCATTCAAAAATTACCCTCCCGTAAAGCTCCTGGACATGACCTAATTACATCCCAGATCCTAAAACCTCTTCCTCGAAAAGCCATCCTATTCCTTACTTACATATATAATGCTGTACTCCGTTCCACATATTTTCCTGATCCTTGGAAACGATCTATTGTTAAAATGATCCACAAACCCAAAAAACCACCAGAATACCCATCCTCTTACCGTCCTATCTCTCTTTTAACCATCATGGGCAAAATCCTAGAAAAACTCATCTTAAAACGCCTGTACCCTATCCTAAATTCTAAACACATAATCTCAGATCACCAATTTGGTTTCCGAACTTCCCATTCCACTATACAGCAATGTCATCGTGTGGTAGACGTAGTCTCCTCTGCATTGGAGCGCGGAATGTACTATACGGGAGTCTTTCTCGACGTTGAACAGGCGTTTGATAGAGTTTGGCACCCGGGACTGCTGTACAAACCCCGAAAATTCCTACCACCTACATAATTCCTCATTATCCGTTCCTACCTTACTGATAGATACTTTAAAGTAAATCACAATAACGCCTATTCATCCCTTTTTTCCCAGTCCGCTGGTGTTCCTCAAGGTAGTATCCTAGGTCCTATCCTCTATACAGTTTATACAGCTGACATCCCTACCTGTCCCAACACTGTCATCACCACATATGCCGATGACACTTGTATCCTATCAGTAAACAATGACCCAGCAATTGCATCCCAAATGCTTCAATCACACATCATAAATCTAGAAGAATGGTGTCAAAACTGGAGAATTAAAATAAACTCCAATAAATCCCACCAAATGACCTTTACCCTTCGTCGTAAACCAACCACTTCCTGTCCTACAGTTTCCTTTAACAATACTCCACTTATCCCTGTTGAGCAAATCCGATACCTAGGACTCCACCTGGACAAACGACTAACTTGGAATCCTCATACTAGACTGAAACGACAAGAAACCGCTCGACGTTTCCGATTACTTCAGCACTTACTAGACAAACGCTCTAAACTTCCCATTAATTACAAAAGACCCATATACTTGACTATATTAAGACCTATTTGGACTTGAGCTATGGGCTCCACTAAACCATTGAATTCCTCTCGCATCCAATCCTTACAATCCAAAATCCTTCGTAAAATCCTCAATGCTCCTTACTTTGTCACTAATAAAATTATGCACAAAGATCTTAATGTTCCTTATGTTTCAGATCTGGCCCAATCCAGATACCTATCCTTCCATAATAAACTTCAGAATCATCCCAACCCTCTCGTTTCTAACCTTGCTTCCTCTTCAATTCCTGATAACCCTCCGAGGCGTCTGAAAAGAAGATGGCCCCGTGATCTTCTAATGTAGTCATATCATTCGATTGCTACCATTGGGTAGTTACTCTGCAAGTGTATTCATGCCATTATATCTATTATGTCCAAATTTACTTGATGTATTTATGTAATACAGTTGTAAATGTCATTAAGAAATAAAAAAAACTAGTTTTTCTCAAAAACTTATAGATATTTTTGTTTTTATGATATTGTAAATTTCAGAAATGACAATGTTAGACTTTCCACGAGCAAAATGATATTTTCATTTTTTTAAATACTTGTTAAAGAAACAGCATTCAGGAGTTCAATATAAAATTAAGTTTGAAATTATCATATATTAGTTTACATTTTAATAGGCATCTTTGAAACATACCGGTTAATTCTCGTCCATAAATTGTTCTTTATTTTCCATATTTTTCTTCATTCTTATAATTCATAATATTTTGACTGCACATCCTACCCATTTTTTATCCTTACTTTTTTTTTCTTCTTTAATATATAAAGTATGACACAGAACTATATTAATGTTTATTGTTAATCTAGTTAGAATAGTTCACGGCTAAATCGGTGTCTATTTCTATGCTCTAAAAAGAAGAAAAGCATTTACTGAAATTATCAGTTAGCCAAATACAGCCTCTATTCTACATGTTATTCAATACATTAAGTAGATTTACCTACTTACAATTTATTTTAACTCCGTGAAAATTGGGGCTTGGATAGCTTAGACATCCAGCTGTTGAAATTGTAAATATTAAAAACGGTCATGATGTGCAGTAAATAAATTATATTTGTTGAGTTTTCCGATATTTCATAAAACATAAG